ACATATGCATACGGATATATATAGTATATAGAAAAAAATTCCCTGAATATCGGCCTACACAAAAAAGGGTTCTGTGTGAAATGGATTGAACTCTTACTGTAAAGGAAACATCAATGTACACTGCCATTGGGATCGAAGATGAAATCTACGCACAACATTATCATTATATATATTTTTCTGACTATCATATAACCATGAATGACGCCTAAGCACCTTATCAATTGAACGACTTATTGATACCCTTTTTATATGTATTTATTTAATTTATTTCTATGTAAAAATGTATGTATAGCAGCTATGTAATATTTGCATGTTAGTATATTTACTACAATTGTACACGGAATGTCAGCTTTACTATCCGTACGCCCGTCCGTCCATTAAACACATGCTTTGCCATGTACCAAAAGTTAAGTGCATTTTGTGTAGAATTTCCGTACTGCTATTGGTGTTATTACTGACTGACCATTTATTAGATATGATTTGACTATTGCTGCGATCGTTACGGAAAAGTCTGCTCCTCTATCCGAGCGTCCATTCATCTGTTTCTGCGATTTTCCCTGTCATGTACCATTAGAGTAGAATTATTGGAATATACCTGATGCTCATTTTCTAGTAGCTTACACCCTTACTCAAGTATATATACTATATAAGTTACACACTTACTTACGCACACATTTGTAGTCACCTGGAGGAGTCTGCCGGAGCAGTTGGATTGGAAGTTGCTTGCACGAGAAGCATTGTACGATAAATCAGACTTACTATTAATGTCCGAAATGTCAAAAATGGCGGCAACAAATCAGTTTAATTGAATCCACGCCCAGGCCACAAGAGAAACCGACGAACGCGACTCGCGGGACGGACGGACGCAGGTTGGGAGAAGCACAAAGTACGGATGGCCCAGGGACCAGCCCAAGAGCCGCGACCGCGAAGCATTACAGAATCGAAGAGCAAAACACAAACAAGCCAAGCCAACGGCACTTCGAGCCGACCCGCAAGTATTGTTAACGTCAACTTTTAACTTGGCTTGAAATCACACGCGAAATTGTAATCCACATTTAGATATGCATGCGTATGTGTATGTGTGTGCGGATGTGTGTTGTATGTGCATTCACAGTTGGGCGAAGGGCGCTGTAGCAGAGCGTTCCTTTTCTTTCATTGTCGAAATTCTAATTAATTCTGTTATTTTGTACAGCACACGAACCGGCTCGAGTTGATTTACAGCACTTTTTTGTTTGCATTTGCGTTTGCGTTTTCATTTTCATTTTCATTTCCATTCTCATTCTCATTTTCTTATTTTGTTTCATTTTTTCTTTCAATTTGCACAATTGGAGAATGGCAGCCGTGCAGGCTCCGGGCTTCGCCTTCTACTGTCTGACTGCGAATGCGACACCTCAGGAAAATTGGAAGCCTCGACCCCGATTTGGCTATCGAGCATTCTTGTCCGCTTCAATTGTCGGATGGTGTGTGGAGCAGGACGCCTGCTTTACGCGGCGTCGACCTGAGAGCAAAGTGTCCAAAAAATAATATTTGCTGTTCAGTTTGACAGTTCAGTCAATGGCTGCCGCAGCCGCAGCCGCAGCCACAGCCGATGTCGATGTCGATGTCGATGCCGAGGCGAAGGCGAAGGCGAAGGTTGTGGAAGCGCAGTCGGCGCACGAAGTGGCGTCGAGACAAGAACGAAGCAAAAAGCAACAGCAACGTCAAATGTGTGAGTGAGAATACGGGAAGACAGAGCCGCCAGTAACAGTAACAGCAGCAACAGCAACAGCAACAGCAACAACAACAGCAACAGCCTCAGCCAGAGCCACAGCAGAACATCAACAGCCAGAGCAATCAGATACAGAGACAGACGAACGGACGCGCTCCGCGAAGGGGAAAAGGTGTCTCTTGACGGTGGTTGAGAGCCAGAGTGAATGCTTCACTTGCCTCACTTGCCCGGGCTGGCCCATGCAGGCCGTATACACATATGCATGTGTGTGTGTGCTTGTGATATGGATGGGGATGTGGATGACGATGACAGCGTTGCCTTGCTTAGTTAGACAAAAAAAGAAAAAAAGGTCATAAACCCACAGCAGAAGCAGTGGCCGCAACACTTACGCTTGCCAGAACGCCAAAGAGGACAGAGGACAGAGGACAGTGGATAGGGGATAGAGAGATAGAATACGAAAACGAAACGAAATGAAAATGGAAATGGAAATAAGAATGAGAACGAACAGGAACAGAAAGCTGAGAGCAACCACATGCCAACAGCAAGCACCACTGGCATCGCCGGCTAGCGGTGAAAAGATGAAAAGCCAGAGAAGCAGCAGTTCAAGCAAAAAGGCACACCGATGGGCAATAAAACGCGTTGGCAGCTGCCCTCTCCTTCTGTTGCGCGCATTCGGCTCGCTCCGTTTCGCTCGCGCGCGCACTCACACGCACACACAGCCGTACACGAAAACAACCACCAGAGCACTCGCACTCGCACTCGCACGAAACGACTGACACTCACACACACAGACCCAGGCCCAATCATTTTATATACGCCATTTGCTGTCTGCTGTAGATACATTTGTATCTTTATGTGCGAAACGAGTCAGCGATGCGTCGGCGACGGAGATCTGTATATACTTTGCCTTTCCGTGTGTGTGAGAGTGTGCGTGTGTGTGTGTGTGTGCGTCTGTAAACTCGCTGCTGACGACATCGGCATCAGCGACGAGTCAATTTTGAGTTTCAGTTTCGCATAGAAGTGGTTGTTGGTGTCGCTGTTGTTTTTTCTCTTCCTGAATTCATTTGATTGTTATTCCTTCTGCATTCCGTTCTGTACCCGAAATTAGCAGAAACGAAAGCAATCTGTCTAGATTCCACCACCACCAGCTCTTATCTTCAATCGAAATTGGGGTTCAGTTCCCAGTGCGCATCTATCACCCGTTTATCTTTTGATTACCACATCGAATCGTATTGAATTTAGGAGGCAAGGAAAACACACACACACACAAATAATAAAAATACAAATGAAAAGAATAAAATAACATTGACAAGATGGTCGCCTAAAAGCATTTTATTTTAACGCCTTCCATGACCAAAATCAGTTGGATGTAAATAAGCCCGAGAGCAAATTAGCTCGATATCAACCCTTTTAACCAACACCAAAAATATGTATTCAAATGTTACAGCTTTATGTTAAGCACGAACTCGATTAAGCATATGTATTGTTATACCCGAAACTGGCGAAACTGGCGAAACTGGCGAAGCCCAAGCTCGGGTTGAATACAAGAAACACGAATCGAATCGAATCCCAAATTCATTTTATTATATTAAATATATTTAGAAGGAAGGCTTATGGACTATAGACAATTAATACTAAATTTAAACATGTAAGAAAACGATTACCCGACTAGAGGATATCAAAGATATTATAAACGTTTTTGAACTGTCACTTCAACTTCCTCTATCATATTTGTCCAAAATAAAAACATATTCTCGAATAAGGATATAACATATCGTAGTTGGAAATTTGCTGAGAGGAAAATGTGATTGAATAGAATATTTCCAAATGAATTTCAATTTAAGCACTACTTTGATCTGCGCCTAGTATATATAGACCTCTATCGGACAGACTCACAGAACTCGAGGCTAAATCCACTCAGCTGGTCTTCCCGATCGAGAATAAATCTTGACACAATTCTCTATCTCTCTCTCCCGCTCTTTCGTCTTTCTTTATCCCTCTCTACTTCTCTGTCTTTCTTTTTATTTCCCTCTCTCTCTCGCTCCGTCTGTCGCTCGCCCTCTCCCTCTGTCAGTATGCTACAAAGAACGAGAAGAAGAAAACAGAGTCATAGAGAAAAGTAATAGAGACAAATGGCTCAATAGAATTGTGCAAGGAATAATCTTCTGTTAAAAGAAATCTGTAAGATCTACTACAAGGACAACACTTAAAGCTGGAAGCAAACAAGAGATTCGATCATTAATATATTGATTATATATAATATTAATTGCTTTTGTGATTCAGGAAACAAAAAATGATAAAGGACGGGTCTTACATATGTTATCCATCCAAATTAGGATATATTTAAATATACTTAATAGTTTGCAACGCGCCTTTCTCTTTATTTATACATTTTATTGACGTAATACTTAATTTAAAGGTATTGTGGGATAAACCGTAACATCATCTTTATTAACATATTTTCTGTAGCCCTAAAGGAAGAAACAAAGTAGCAGAAGTAAATACCCAAACATTTAATATAATGAAATTGTAGATGATACGCACAGGATTTGGTCGCTTGCCATAAAAGCAAAAGTCATAGTTCAAGAATTGCTTACTAATTTATTTATGTCCTTTTCGTAATATTAAATTACATTATCCTTTATTTGACTATATTAACATGAAACATTACATTTCTTGAATTATTGTATGTATTGAGTTGTTTCTCATGACATTTACACCCTAATTTTATTTGGCTTCTTATTGACCATTATAAAATATATTCAAAATGTTTTTCCATCAAAATAATGCTTGTTCAGACTGCTCGTCTACGATATCCCCTGAACCCTTCGAAGAAGTGATATTTGATAATCATTTTTCGCGTCTTTCTGCTTACACTCACACATAGAAAAACATAGGGATGCAAGCATAAACACACATTGGCAGCAGTGTGGGCGTACTATGGAAACTTAATTGCCTAAAAGCTTTTCTTGTTGATGGACTATGCCTATGATTATAACGTGATTATAATTTCAAGTAGATATCGTGCATAATTTAAATTTATCTCAAATAATCGCCATCTAGATTTTTTTTGCTTGGGCTGTTATTCCCAGAATGTTCTCCGGCCCAAATGGTAACCCTAGTCTGGCTGTAGAATACTCATTCATAAAATCCAGATGCAGCACATTTCAAGATATATATTTATTGATTTGCCTCATCTCGAACTTGCAACCACAAATCATTTTGGCAAGTCACTAAAAAATGTCATTATCAATATAGTCGTTAAATTTTGAGCGTTTTAATTGTAACCATAGAGGCTACCGTTCTCCTGAAAGGACACGCTCCCAGCTGGCGTATATCCTACATTTCACTGTAGCAAAGAACATTTTAAGGACTCACTATATCTACTCGTTCTTTCAGAATGACTTTGGGATGGTTAAATGATTTTCGATTTGTATAGCTCCGCTTTATAGGATTGCAAACTTATGTCCATGCATATCCCCACAATTTAATTATATTCATTAGAATATAAACTGTAAAGTGTTTGTGAGTCAAATGTTTTTGGAAAGCGAAAGTTGATTGGGTTCGTTACATTGGAAAACAAGTCAAATACTCGCATTATTTTAAAATAGCCCGAAAGGAAACATTTTCGGCTAGGGGTGCGATAATTGCATTCGACTTCAAAGCAAATATCTGTCATACGCCACCCTATGAAACCAAATAGAGTTCGATAGACACGAATACGCTCTCTTTGTACATAACATAAAAAACGCATTAAGTCGCTGGGAGACACTTTACTTCACCATCTTTCAAGCTTCACAGAGGGGAATGTTTATATAACGGGGTACATTTTATAGCATTTCCTTTGTGCGCATATTCTGCATCCCCTCAATGCCGTTTACTTAAAAATCTGTGTATATTTCAGTTACATATAACCAAGTGAAAGTATATAAGACAGAATATGTTTCCTACCCTCAGGCCCTATGAATACAATTGAAGTTAATATCTTATCATAAGTTAACATTTCATTTTTGTACCCGTGCATATGTGTTTTATTCAGACCTCACCTTTCTTTCCGGTCCGCTACTCATTGTGTATCATATTTGATTAAAGATAGCATCTTTTGATGTCACGTGCGCTTCGTATATGTAGCATCAAAGTCAAAGTCCATTTTACATCCATTTTACATTGACAACTGAAATACTGGGAAACAAACTCCAAGCACATATTGCTACGTCTCTTTGACACCAATGAAACGTACGTATGTCTCCCTTAAATTCAGTGTATATCACCGCATCGCCGCGAAATTATCATATGAAGAACGGTTAGAAAACGTCTGTCTCACATACTTGCAAAGAATAAGAGCTCCATTCGCTCTAGTTTCGGAAAATAATCTATTTCAATTTAAGCGTTTGTATAACACAATTACAAAAATGCTTCCCCTGTAATTTTAAATATAAAATTTACCATACTGAACAGAAATGCTTTGCCCTTATATTTATCTTCGTTTCAGAACGCTGTGCTTTGTGGGTGCAAGTTAAAGTACTCTAGTCGGCATTTAGCGACATTTCGCCCTGATGCCTGCGAATAAAATTCCAAACTTACTTTATACATAGACTCGCACACAGACGCATATACGCATAAGCTTACAGTTCTAAGTGGACATCGGTATAATAATATCCCAATCGCATAACAAACAAGTAAGAAGGCTCTACTCGAGACAGCTCGACTACGAGATGCCCTGAGCCCTCTAATCTGATATTCTAATCATTCTGTACTTCTTTTATGCACATTTACATACATAGACATGCATCCGCACGCACGTATAAAAACATACTTTTTCACAAAACCATTTTTCCCATTTTCAACAAATAAGAATGTTACTGACTGTGGAATACTCATTCACATCCCATTAACAATTTGGTAGCTAAGTTTAGCTCTAATACTGTAGAAAATTATGTTTTCCCCGATTTGCCACGCTTCTACTGGGCGTAGAAACCTCATATATCAATAATTTTCGGGTCATCGATAGAGGAGGTTATAAATAACTTAACTATCCATATATCCGTCGAAGCTTTTTGGTCTTGGGTAGTCAGCCCGAGTGTACATATATACCAAATTTGAGTAAGAAAACTCTAGTCGAGACTGCTCGGCTACGAAATCGCCTGAACCCTTCGAATAATTGCTATTTCACAATAATTCTTTGCGTCTTTCTGCTTACACTCAACCATTGAAAAACATTGGGATGCAAGCATAAATACGCATTGGCTATAGTGTGGGCTTACTTTGGAAACTTAATTGCCTAAAAGCTTTTCTTGTTGATGGACTATGCCATGATTATAACATGAAAGATCGTGATTATAAAAACGCGAGTGTGTGCCAAAGTACGTCTCTAGTATTTGAAATATGCCTTGTACAAAGGTGTGGGTGATGGGATGGATATAGGGGTGGGGGGTAAATTACAAAAAAATCGAAATTATATAAAATACATATGAATTTACATATCAAGTTTTCCGACTCTACCTCCAAAGCTTTGGAGGTGTAGGAGATATAATTAAAAAACTAACTTTGATAAGGTTTTTAATCGATAACAAATTAACGGGATGAGTTATCGACTTTTAGTGATATGCTCGATATGCAATATGAAGTCTTTAGCTCTTATATGTCTAAGATCGATGCGTTCAAACATATCCTCATATTTGACGGACAGATGGACAGAGCTAAATATTCTCAGCTCGTCGCCCTGTTCAAGAATACATATATGTACTCTGTGGGCTCTGCCCCACCTCCTTCTACCTGTTACATACATTTTAACAAAACCATTTTACCCTGATTTCAATCTTCATAGAATCATAGCATTGGCTTACGCGCAAAATTTCAGCGTTCTATCCGATCCAGCGTATCCGATTTACCACGCCAGACAGTTCACAA